GCTGCGTGTGTGGACGCGCCGCGCTGCGTGGGCTTCGACAAGACATGACAAGACCTTGCCTATGCCATATATGCAAAAAATCAGCTCTAATACTCTTAACGACCATTCTCAATACAACTGAACACCAAACGACTTCACGGCCCTGGGCAAAGGCAGGGCGCAATCCCGAGCACCCGGCTGAAGGTGGGAACTATCCTCTTCTGAGCATACATTTGCACTGCATCCGCGGTGTCCTGCGGCACCCTGCAACAGCCGGAAACTTTATATACTCTTCAGATGCGAAAACAGCACATGAGAGTGCCTGGTGTTGTCTGGATCTTTGTCCAGCATCTTACCCGTCTCATCTTCCGCCTTGTCCCTCGGCCCGGCACACTCGGGGATTATGTGACCTCCCTGATCAGAGCCTTATAAACAGGATCCCCTTTTATTGGGTTGCCCCCTCGGAACTCACAGCGCTCCCAACCTGGTCAGGCAAGCCCCGGGCCCGATTTTTCCCTCGGAGAATTTAGGAAGCCCTCAGCTGGGAAACGCTTTTTGTGCGATGAGTCTGCTGAGCCGAGGTGGCCATCCGGGGCTCGGTTGAGTAGTCTTTCACTGGGTGGGGAGTCGATTTCTGGCTGTGCTCTCATTGACCCTTGTGGCGAAGGCCCGGACCCTTGCAGGGTAGCTTTGTACCTTACAGTATCTGATTCCTTGTACCGCCAGGCGTCGAGCTCCTAGTTGGTGGTGCATTCTGCTTTGGGGTCCAAGACCCAGGGTTTTAGGCCGGCGCTGAAGGCGTGCAACGCACCGCCCATGCGCATGGGCCCTGGGATTCAAGACAGCCTTTGAGTGTGCCACCGAGGGCCGTCTGGCCGGGTGACCAAGCTGTGCTATTTTTCCCTGGCAGCAGTGCCTTTGGTGTCTCGGTACTGCCGTACTGGGTCCACGTTCCATATTGCTGTGCTGCCGACGGCAGAACTGGTGCTGTTGCTCATAAGCAGTCCCGTGCAGAATTTGTCGTTTGAGAAGTGGATTTCGATTAAGTTAGCGCCACTGGCCACTTATGTTGTCTGCCTCCAGCGAAGCTGCTCTGATTCTGAAGCGCCATCTCGGAGATGATGATGTACATGAGCTGCCACTGAAAGGTGTGCGTTACTGGGCATCCTGCATCTTTAACTGTGGAGCAGAGCTGCATGCCAAACGCCAAACGTGTCCCACACCTCGATCAAATGTCTGGGCAAAGTTGTTTGCTGCGGTCTTCCTTGTGGGCGACCGTCTTCTGTGCAAACGTCCGGGAAGTAAGGACCCAGCTGCTGCCCAGGCTTTTCTTACCGCGTTGCTGTTGTGGTTTCTCTTTCCGGTCGGCTACCGCTTCGGCCGGAGGTAGCGGCCCTTGCAGGCTTGGCTGCGGCGAATGGCATGGCATTGGTCATTGGTCAAAAGACTGTATTTCTGGCTCGGGCCTGTAGCGGGTAGAGGCCAACTGGCCCGAACTGTGGTGAGCATCCGTGTCTTTCCATCGGCCGCATGCGCACTGGGACGCCAAACAGTTGGAGTATCAGCGCGACACTGCCCTTGTCGGACGAGGTCGTCGCGACATTTTGTGCCCTGACGACGGAGTGACGCCATACCGCCGGCGACTTCCGGAAGCCGCTAATTTTCTGATGATGGCAGGCCACCTGTCTGACACCGGAAGAAGCGAATGCATAGTGCCTCCTTGTCCTGCGATGCTGGTACGTACCTGTGACCCTTCAGCAGCAGTTCGGTGTGCGAAGAGGTGGATGGCACGTGCCGTGCAGTTACATCAGGTTACATCAGCATTAAAGCCAAATGCTTTGGCCAGTCTGGCCGGAGTGGTCGCAACCACCGCACGCGCACTGCCCTGGACCATTCCTGCGTGAGGGGCGCATCGTGTCCTTTGGCAAGTGGCCCTGTCGCCGTGCTTGGCGAGGGTTTTCATCCTCCTCGCACGGCATGCAAATGTGATCGCTGCGCAGACGCTGGCCAGATATTTGCGGTTGTGTCAGTGCCGGAAGCCTGCCAGTACTGCGTGGGATCCTCGGCAAATCTCGGCAAGATGGCATTGAGGCTGTGACGGCTGCGCAGGCAAGCATGCCTTCTTCGGAGGGTGTGTTTTCCGCTCTTTCCGTCAGCGCAGAATATTCCAGCTGCCGGAGTTGTTTTGCTTATTTTCGGCAGCATGCCTCATGAAAGTTGCGTTGGACGTACACTGGGCTGCTATCGAAAGTGGCCACCTCCTACGTTTTGGGCTGGCAAGAACATGCACGCCGTACAGCTGGCTACTGCGACGACCTGCGATGGATGAGCACGTCACTGTGCTGCCGTTGTTTGCACGAAGCTCTGACCCGTTGGACGCACTCCGTGGCTTTTGAGGTGCAACTCCCTTCGGCCGATGGCTGATTTCCAAAGCACCCTGCAACTCGAGCTGAACCGATTACCAAGGCAACTCCATGGAAACCTTTCATCCCATGCCTGTCTGGGTGGCTGATGTCAGACTTTCTCGGTCTTCGCAGGCCGCTTGGCAAGGTGGCGCGAGATGCAATGAGCATTGTGGAGCGCTGTTCAGCCACGGTGGGCCTCTCCTCTGACTTTCAGCACGCTGGGTGGAGCAAGCGTGCGCTCAGAAAACCCAATGTGCAAGGCTGCTGCTCGCTGTCCTTTTCCACAAAGCAAGCTGAGCTGGTTATCATTGTCTTCCAGTTGTATTTCGCGGCCCGCTTTGACGCTTGGGTTTTGTTCTTTTCGGCGGGTTTAGTTCGGGTTGCTTATTTGTTTTCTTTACCATAATTTTCGTTGCGTGCAGCAGTACGTGATTGGAGCAGCCTATTTGGTTCCGGTGTTACCTTAGACGGCACCCTCCTCGCGATGCTTCGCTGTGCAGTGCTCCACCTGATCCTCCACACTCCTGTATGGAGTGGCGGCGGAACAATGGGGGGTCCTGAGGCGGCGCCCCTGATCGTCACCGTGCTCCGCTCTCGCGAGCCTTCGGCACACATCGGGGAGCTCATGAGCCTCAGGTCGTACGCCTTGAAGTTGCAGTCGCTGGTCCAGATCGCAGCGGTGGTCATCATGGTTCTCGAGATAATGTCCAAGAGGACTGTCACAGAGGAGGCCAGCATTGTTGCCGGGGACGCTCCTTGGGGGGGCAACGCTGCTGCGCCAGATGCGGCATGCTCCAATCACAAGAAGAAGAGGCACAGGAAGAAGCAGAAGAAACAACGACGTGGCCGCTCTTCTTCGTCGGAGTTCTCCGGCACTTTTCAAGCCTCCCGAAAAGGCACCTGCCACGCCAACTGGCCACGGCACCAAAGTGGCTGCCATGCAGCTCACGCCAAGACACAATCGCATATGAAATCTTTGGGCTCCTTCATGTACCAGGATGCACTCACATGTCTTGTGGAATCTTGTGGATGTGAGCAGGGCATCCTCTAGCAAGACGTCGAGGAACAGTTGCAGAACCAGACTGTCCCTTGCTTGAAAGAGTTTCTGACCACGAAGGTGCCTTCTTCGCAAATCCCGACGAGGAAGACGGCACTCGTTGCCCGGGTCATGAAGTTGTTCCGGGAGGCAGTGAGCAACTGAAGAGCTAAGCCACGGGAGCACACAGACATACTACACATCGGGAGTGCTGCGTGTCTGAGTGCCGCTGCTGAGATTGTGAGCATTTCCTGATGTCCTGGTCCTCATTTGTGCTTCGGGGGTTCTTGCAGTGCCACGCACGTGCAAATGGTCCACAATAGTGTGCAAAGGAACGCGATGGCCGGATGCTTGGCTCACAATCGCGGTCTGCGATGCAGACATGGCGGGATTGACACAGTGACGGGATCGCAAATGAGTGCGCCGTCGCCCTGGATAGCAGGGGCTGCCTCTCCAATTTTGTGGCTGCTTCGCAGCGGCAGGGCGCACATGACCCCCCACCGAGCGGTACTGTAATTGCCGTGTGTCCTTGTTTGTCGCTCCAAGCCGCAACCCTTATCGGATTGCATTTGTGAATTTCTGCAACCTATGAGTCTGCTGAGCCGAGGTGGCCATCCGGGGCTCGGTTGAGCAGGCTCGGTTCTTTTGAGTTTGTGGTGCACTCTGCTGCATTGGGGTCCAAGACCCAGGGTGAAGGCGTGCAACGCGCCGCACATGTGCATGGGCGCTGGGATTCAAAACATCGTTTGATTGATTGATTGATTGGTTGGTTGGTTGGTTGGTTGGTTGGTTGCTAGGTCGGTTGCTCGGTCGGTGGGTGGGATGGATGGATTCGATTGAATTGGATTGGATTGTGCGTCGTTCCAAACATCTCTGCAAGCCATGCGGCAGGTCTTTCTTCACGGCCTCTTGCACCTAGGTAACAATCGCATGCTGCAATTCTCTACTGGATCGTGTGGTTCTTGGCCCTCAACTGCCCTCAAGACGTTTCCGAGCACATGTGGAAGGCACTTGCTCAATTCCAGCTGGGGCCAAAGCAGCATCCGTTGCCTGCAAAGGGTGCTAACAGTCAGCGAGCTGCCTATCAGCAATAGTCCCCAGGCCTCATCCTCAACCTTCTCGACGGTCTTTCCTGCATCTTGAGTGTCGCTGTCCTCAATATACTGAAGAGTCCCAGGCAGAATACCGTGTAGAATGTTGCATGCACACTGAAGAAAAGTCCGGCACTCGAGCCCTCTTGGCCCATGGCAAAAGCCGACAGCTCCGGCAGAGTTCCTCCTTGATTCGGCGGCTGGCTGTGGGTAAGGCCACACGCTGTCAGCAATGACTGCGAAGTCCAGGTCGCGACCCAACTTACCGCTGCAAATTCTGATGCAGATGACAAGGAAAGTAACACCAGCATGTTCGATTTGGCAAAGTGCTCCCAGCCACCCCCCAGCCCCGTGTCACCGCCCCTTCTTGAACCGTGGAAGGCAAATGCGTCGAACCTTTGTTGCACCGTGACGGCCGTGACGGCTCAAGGACCCTTTGCAGCTCGGCCGCGTCTCCGTGGTTCGAGCTCAAGGCCCAGGCCTGGCAAGGCGCCGCCCCGCTTGAGATGCGGACGCCCACGGAAACAAGACATGATCATCGCACCACACACAGACACACAGACACAAAGGGGGAGAGAGAGAGAGAAAGCCGTAAACCTCACGTTTCCTGGCCTTGCAAATTCGAAGCCCCGCCGGGCATCCGCACCGGCGGCATCGGCGCTCCGAGCGCCGGCAAGGGCTCCATGGACCCAGCCAGGCCTGCAAACACAGCCGTTTACATGTGTATTTAACAGGATCTAACGCCTTATGTACCTATCGAACTCCCCACGACAAAAACGTGTACTTGCTTGCGCTTGGACATACACTTGCACTCACAGGGGCATGCAAAACGCATGCCTGTACACCAACACCTTAGATGCGGACATGAATACACACCTCCATCCGTACACCCACCCAGACAAGCTTGTTTACATGTAGCGAACTAATTCGCTTCCACTTCGGACTTTTATTCACCAGTTCACTGTCCGATCTTGGCCCTACGCGCCTAGCTAAGCGATGCGAACGAAAAGTTCAGTCCGAACAGCGCGGCTCACTCACTGTGTGGTGGGCAACGCGAAACAACGAAGCCTCGGGCCTTTCGCCGCAAAGCAGTGTTTCACTCGCTAGCCGCACACGTACACTGCACCGCAACTGCACCTGCTGTATGTAACATACATGAATATGCAGTTCTAAACATCACTCCTGCAGATCCTACAATACACATCACGACGCGCTCGAAGATGCGACGGTGCGTCCTCGACATGTTATAAATTTTGTGCGTGTGCGTGAGTGCATGACCTCTCGGGTGTGTGAGGAAGAATTCTAGATTTCAAGCATCATCGCAACGAGCATCAATAACCGATTCAATAACCGTTCACTAAAAATTGGGCTGGGGTCCAAAGCGCACTGCGCTCACGCGTCGAGCCACTGTGCCTCCTAATTCAACGAGAAAGGCCCAAAGACCTTGCACCAGACTTTCAGGAGACGCTGCACTTCATTGAGGGACACTTGTTTTGTGCGAGTGATTTTTTCTGGTTTGCATCTTCCCGGCAGATATGCAGATCTTCCTCCCGCCCCGTTTGGCACATTGATTTTCACAGCTGCCGTGTCCGAAAACCGGGCGATCGCTCGCGCTTTGAGCATGGTTGGGACACCATCGCACTGGCCTGGAGTGCACAAGCCGACGCGGAATCTGCCGATAAACTTCGTTCGAAAGGCCGTTCCACCCCGCCACCCAGATGCTGGATGTTTTGCCAGAGGGAGTCCGGGCAGCATTCCACATCAGATCCTACCCTAAACGTGTGATAGGAGAGGCCCTTTTGCTGCCAAGCTTCCTACTTGCTTGGGGGTATTGCAAATGCAGGCTCCAAAAAGGCCTGGGCTCCCATAACATGTCTCTGCTGAGGCGAGAAGCACATGCTGGAGACCGGTGGGCTCCCAGTTTTGTGGCGACACATACAAGTAACTGTCACATAACATATTATGGTGTGCATGCCAAACGTCCGATTCATGTGTCTGTGCAAAGTCTATTAATGCTATTGCTCACCATGATCCTTTCCGCTTTCACTTACTCAACTTATTCGTCTATACGTCAGCAAAGCTCAGTCAGAAGATGAACACGAACGTGCTGTTTCCGCGGGTACAGGAACAAGATGAACAACCGTACGTAAGCACGACTGCTGCGTTGCATGTTTACGTTGCTTGCATCGTGCAGAGCAGTGCCTGGAAAGCCAGCCGGGCCGAAGGCTGGGTTGAAGCCTCCACGAACGGTTTCAAACTTCTAAGGCCTAGGGAATCCTGCTCTTGTCTTCTGGGAGTCCAAAGGCACCTCCAAAGGAAGGCGACTGAAACCTCGGCGAGTCGCTCCGTCACTGTCTTTGGCAACATCTCGCGCCCCTCGTAATCGTGCTACTGTCTAGACACTTGAGTACCTTCTGTTCTGCTGTGGCACGGATGGCTCTGGGCTTCGGACGAGGTTGTTGCACTGAAACCGGGCATGGCCGGCCCGAGACAAGCACCGCCGGCAAAGCCCCTTTGTCGATCATTTTATTTTCATCTTTCGACCCGCTAAGGTGAGATTGGGGGAGAAAAGTACTGGGTGGAGTCTGGAGAGAAGTCAAATATCTCAAGGCTTCCAGCAAGCAAAAATCTCGCAGAAGCTTTGGAGAGGTTTGCTGTAAGTGGAGCTCAGACGTACAATGCTGTCCTTGAGCTTCGGAAGGACGAGACAGTGGCACTTTTGAACATGTTGCTGCCCGACCTAGAATCTTCGTCTTAGAAGGTAAGTGAGCCCGACGAATCCTAGAAGGTAAGTGACGGTAATCAAACACACAGAGATCACCGACATAAGCAGACGTTGGGCACACGGCTTGGCGCCTGCCATGCGGACGATTTCTTGGTACCATTGCCTCTCCACAGATGACACATACTGGCGCTTGAGGACCTTGGCGACAAAGCTGTCCATGCTCAGACAAACATCGAGCAGAACGATTCGGTGAAAGAATGAGAACGCTCCTCTTTTTCGCCTATGTCGGCTGTCCTCTCCTCCCATCACTGCTGCGGAGGTGGAGCATCTCCTAGGGCATGTCGCATGAACCGTCTGCACTCAACGTCAAGACAGCCAAGGGGCCAGTTTCAAATGCAAGGAGAATGGCTCCACGGGCTCAGGTGGCGCCGGCGAGGCCTTCGGCAACGAACAGTGGCTGTCGTTGCCTTTCAGAACCTCTCAGCCTTGAATCCCCTCAGTGACTTTCGGTGACCGTTCGCTCAACCTGTACTTGCAGATGCAACCTTCCTCGGCAGCATCCAGCTGCTGCTGATCTGGATCTTGCCTGCAAACATGCGATGCCGAAGTTTCTGTTACAGTCCCAACTGCTGCACCTCCTGCAATTGCCAACGTTGCATGCGTCGAAGTGTTGACATCTGATTCGGCAGGCATGGAAGCTACAGCACCTATCATCTGAATCAGTTTCTCTGGACATAAATCTCAGCCGCAGGGGGTAAGATGCCATTGGCACCGTCATGCGTGGCCGCCTTGGAGCTCCATAGGAAGGCATATGTTTGAGCCGCCTGAACTTTCTGAAAGAGCAACCGGTTACTATAGTACGGCATCAACCAAGCACCGAACGACCCCTGCATGATTCAGCAAGCCCCAGAGTCCATGCTGCCCGTCCCTCTGCCAAGTCTCTGAAGGATCTCCGCCAAGGGCATTGACCACATCCCAACGACCTGTCAGACCCGAAAAAGACAGAAGAATCAGCTCGAAAAGTCTCACCGCAGACTTCCCAAATGTTTGACTTGCACATGCGAGTTTTCGGCAACCTTCTTGGTTCACCAACACCCCTGTTTCAGCAATCATCAGTTTCCGGAAGGGATGTATGCCAGTCGACGTGAATTGAATTGTTGTCGCCTAGGATCGAATGCTGCGGCAGAGCTTTTAGCACGCTAGGACGCTAGGGTACTCTAGGGCAAATGACAACTCATACTCAACATCGCACCCAGCTACGAATCAGTAACCCTGACGCACGTGCATAATGATGGGCCTCCAGCTCGCACCCCTGCTCCCGCTCCCACCCAAACAAAAACACGGTTGCCATGGGAGGGCTTTTGTATGTAGACGTCCTCATGTGCTGCTTTTTTCGGTGGCATTTGCCTGTTGGGATAACGGCAACTTCGCGAGATCTTCGGAGCTTTGCCTTCGGCTCGCTGCGTTGGTCGACGTTGCAGACCTCGAGCTGCAACACTTGATCCTGTGGACCTGACGTCAAGGCATCGGAGATGCAACTATGGAAACGCCGACATCCCGTGAAAATGTGTGAAAAGGCTGGAATATCTCTTTCTCCTGCTCGCGCGCTCGCTCTCGCTCTGGCGCTCGCTCTCCCTCTCTCTCACCCCCTCTCTCTTTGTGAAATGACATGAGCCACTAAATGAACGTGATGCATTTGTATGCTTTGATGCCGAATGGCATGGGTTCAAGACTGGACAAATCGTATTGACGTCACTAAAAAAAGTCTGCTTGAATGCCTGCTTGAACTGATCTTGGTTGCTCGGGCAAGTGTAGATTGCACTGTTGAAAGTTGAGCTTCGGCTCTGGAACCAGGGACTGAGAGAATGGATTTCGGAACCAGAGGGATTGGCGGTGAGATCCAACTATGCCCGCCACCAGTATACCACGGAGATCTAGAGAAATGATAAGACATGGTCGTGGCAGCTGAAGAAACATGTAGGATTGCACAAGCCACCGGCCAAATGCTCATGAACGGATCCGCCCACATAATAACTGACGATCTGTGCGAGGCTTTCAAAGTTCATCAGTATCGAACACAGGATGATCTGCTTTCACTGTTCGCTAGGCAATTGGCGTATATGCTTGCGCAAATCACTGATGCACTGGAGATTGTCTACAGCTATGTCAAAGCAGACACCTGACGGTGCCGAACGGCAAGACTGACTACCAAGAACAAGCTGACACAGAAATTGGAGCGCTGAACTTCTGAAAGGAAAGACAATGGAAAGGAAAAGGACACAGAAGAGGTAATGGAATCTACCAGAGAAAATTGAAAAGGCAAAGGATACAAGGGCTAAGGCTAAGGAATGCACAAAGGTGAAGGCAAAGGAATGAGCACAAAGGATACAAAGGAAAAGGAAAGGGAGTGAAAGGAAAGGCAAAGGACAAGGACGTTTCCCGTGTGGCGACCCAAGCCACTAGAGCAACGAATGACATAAAGGAAAAGGTTAAATGTCAGCTGTGACTGAGGATGGGAATCAGCAAGGAGATGGCAATTCATGGGTTGGTGAATGGAATCAATGGAGTCCGGATGTCGGGATGACTGGTCTTGGGATGATAGCGGTTCGATTGGTCCATGACGAATGGAGTCATTGGCCTGAGGACTGGTCCTGGAACACTCAGGACTGGTGGACGCAGGAGACACCGCAGAGCTCGAATGGTGCCTCAAACTAAAGCGTAATGTCTCTCAGGACACCGCCAAGAATGAACCGCCACAGAATGTTTCAGCTGTGACTGTCGAACCGTGGGATCAGAATGCTCCCAGAGTTGCGAAGACTGTTCGGGGAGCAACGCCTGGACTGACGACGAACTTGTTCGTTGGAGCGTGCTTGTTGATTGGCGCACTGAGTTCCGGAGTGCCACCAATGCCGACTCCGAGTGCACCGAATGTGACACAAATCCCCGAAAGTGATCCGATGGATTTGACGACAGCTTGGTTGCAAACTGGACTGGTCGACAAGACATGGATACTGTTCGATAGTGGCGCTTGCGCGAACCGTTGTCCTGAATGGTTTGCGCCGGAAAATCCGGTGTTGTTGTTGAATGAAAGTGCAACGGCACTGCGAAATAATGCGAAGCTTGTCTGGAAAGACACTCGATGTGCAAGGTCGAAACATTGCGCAGCTTGACTATGTCAGCGGTCATTCGTTGAGTCTGCAATTTTATGTGTGCACTCGCACACCCCTTCGGGTCAGTGCTGCACGACTGTTGTTGCAAGACGTCTGGACTGTTGTGGCAAAAGGCTATCTTGGTTTGGTTGACCCGCTGGCAATTCTGCGCCGATTGTGAGACAAGGCACACTGGCGTTAACTGGTGTGCTTGACGCCCACTGTCATTCCTTATGCCGTGACAAAAGCGGCAAGATTGGTAGCGAGTTGTCTTCCGGAGGTAAAGTCGGGAATGGAGCAAGACCTTGCCTGATGCCCTGGAGTTGCATGGAGCATCGGACGTTCATGACTGTTCGATTGATCAACTCTGCCAGCTGCTGCTTGATTGCCGCAGCGCAAGAAATGAAGGCCTCCGGTTTCTGCTGGGACACCTACCCGGAGGTGAGTGAGCCAGAGTTGAAGTTGATTCGCCATGCGCGGGTGCGGCGAAAACAAATCTTGGACCCCAGGATCAAACTTGCGAGTAAAATGCCGGCACAAGTGTCACGCCTGACTGGCGAAAGAGTGACACACAAGAAAACCGAGATGGGTCGACTGCGACTGTCAGGGATGCGAATTTCCTGACATGGATTGGCGAGGACGAGTGGCATTCGGATTGCCGCACGAGCCGCAACGGAGGCATGTGCAAAAGAGTGCCCCCCGTCCTGATCCGCAGAGTGGCAGAGCGCCACCTGAGAAGGCGAATGCCGATGTTGTGGAAATGGAGACACAGAACGAGACTGCATCCAACAGCCGAGTACGAGGCCGGCGATACAGTTCACGGCCGAGTTGAGGCACACAAGGCCCAGCAGCAGGACCGCACTGACAGTTGCGGCCAGCGGATGTCTTCTACCTACGACGCTCCTCTCGTCAACATCACACTCTCTCCGGACACTCTCTGCACTTCTTCGCCAAGGCTTTCGAGCTGGGCAAGATGCAGGGCAACTATACTTGGTGGAGCTCGTCCACAAGCCCAAGGTGTACACGGGCGGAAGTCTATAGGAAAAGTTCACCAAAAGACACTCAGATGGGCTTGGAAGGATGCTAGAGGAGTTGACAATAGCAGCATCTATGGCACTATGGAGCTCCGGCCTAAGATCTCCGAGATCGAGTTCGATCGCCCCAAGGAGGATGATCCACGGGAGCGGAAGCCCAAGGCCGATGACCCTGACTACGCCAGGAAACCCGAGGCACACAAAGCGCTCCGGGATGTGTACCGTGAGACCCAGTATGTCAGGGAAGACTTCTGACTCCTCATCTCTGTCATTGCTGGCGTGAATTGCGAATGAAGAGGTCCGACGGAAGTACATGGTGCGTACTCCGGAAGGGTACGGGCTGTACGACTGTACGACAGTACGCTCCGACAACCTGTCAATGCACCTTGAAGGACACTGAGCACAAGGACTTCAAATCGCTTTGCGAGGAAGGTGAGGTCCGACCTGCTCGCGTACCAGAGTCTCAGAGAAAAGCAGGAGGCTGAGTTGGGGGAGCTCTACACTCGTCCGTATGAGGACATCGCTGTTCGCAAAAAGCTCCCTGGTCCACAGGTTGAGGAAGTCATCGGGCCCGAGAAGGGCACTTTGATGGACACCTCCGAGGTCAAGGCAGAGACAGCGGACTTACCGAAAGGTGAGACGGCTGCTGGCTCGGCTAAGACCGAAACACCCCACGCGCCGACGGAGGCTGGAGCTCCAGAAAAGAGGTATCTGGAGTGAAGGTCGAACCTACCGAAGAAGGCTCTCCTCAGGGACAGGTACCGGTATCCAAGGATGAGCACATGGGCGACGCGAGGGATGCCACGATGCGGATATGGCTCAGGGTGAGGAATCCACGCCAGACCTTTCTCGCAGCACGGATGACGAAACTCAACTTCACGATCAAGGCATCTGTGGGAAACGCAAGAACATCGTTGATCCGGAGCTGTCAAAGGCCGCAAAGGACGCCAAAGCCCAGAACGAGAAGGCTTTCGATAATCTCGAAGGCGCCAAGGAGAAGTATGGCCTCGAGGGCACCGAGGAGTGCAAGAACTTCTGCACAAACCTGGTCAAGCTTGAAAGGACAGGCCCCATGCGGATGCTTGTCAAACAAGCATGGCTATGGGCACAGTGGTCTTTACCACAGCGGTGTCCGGGACGACGTGAACGATCCTATCAGTGCCTTGAAGGTCCAGCACATGAACTGGCGTGTTGAAGTTCCTCAGCATGCCGACCGGAAGTACCATCCTTCAGAAGATGATCTCTTCAAGCAACTATGTGTAATGGTACCTATTTCCGAGCGACGTCCTGACCGTATGGATGTCGTCTATCGTTCAGGCATGTCAGAAGCACACTGAATGATCGTCTCTGAAGGCCTCAGATATCAGGGCATCAGGTTTTGAAGCTCAGGCTGCACTCTTGGAGAAGGTCAAGGAGCTTCACGCAGGCGGCAGACCTGCGACGAGGGAGGAGCTTCTCAATGCGGTGCTCCATTATGACGAGATCGGGGACTTATCACTTGATAAGATGCCAAGTCCGTACCTCTTCCGCTTCGGGCTTGCAGAGGATGGACCAGTTCCTATCTACACCAGCAAGTCCATGTATACGCCGCTTTGATCTTGAACCTGGGGAACATCTCCCGCGGCCGAAAGAGAACAGCTGCTTCCAGCTGCTCGGACCTCATCGAGTATGACTCTTCAGGAGAGTCCCGTGAAGCGCTCGTCAAGTCAATCGCTCAGAGCAGTTGCGCGCGGTCTCAGAGATTTCGAGGGATGAACTTGACTTCCTCTACCACTTGGCCAATCGGCCGCGACAACTCTTGCACTTGGGACGGCATACGGGACAATGAAACGTCGTCCCTGGCCGTTGCTGAGCACCTCTACCAGGTGGGCTGTTCTGGGACATCCAAGCTCATGATGCTGCGACTCTACGTGTATATCTACGCAACTACAGAAGGATTCAGCGTCCGAAGCGCTCGGATCTTCAGCTCGCACTGGAACCGATGATGCATGTACCGGCGAGCCCAGATCACCTACACAGGTGGCCATAAGGACATGATCGACCACTCCATCCGCTGCTGATGTTATGGATGCCTTCCTGTCATGATTGGAACTAGCACCTGCACCCCGAATATCCCCAGAAGGTGGCAGAGCATACACAAACAGGAACATGTCCGAACCTGCGGCTTCTGAAGGAAGGGTTTGGCCGACGCATTCACTGCACTGCACTTTGTCCAATTCTTGACCACCTCGAGAGATACAGTCGAATTGCCCTTAAAAGCTACTACAGTCACAAAACCCTCGCTCAGACGTCCAGCTGGCGGGAGCCGAACGGTCTTGAACTTTTTGGCAATCTGCGCAGATCGAATCCGCCGGGGGTCACCCGAATGATTATAAAGGCATGAGTGCCTAACACCAAGTAGATTGCAGCAATGGCCGCATGTTTCCTGCGCTAGCCTTAGCGAGACATTCCTCGCGCCACGGGGAGTACGCTTGGCTACCTCTGCCAGTCGGGGGGCTGAGGATAACTGACTTCTAGCCTGCTCTCCCTCGAGCTAAACCTTCCCGCAGTCGACAAGCGGCTATTGATGCTTGGAGGGTGGGAGACCCCGTCTTAGCGGTGCATTCGAGTAGCTCAGCAATGGCACAGCAACAGGAGGAACCAACTCTGCTCGCGGATCCCCTTCAGTGCCCGGTTTGCTCCTATAAGGCTTCCACCTTTAGGGGTCTGCAAGTTCATTACGACGGCCAACACGCTTTAACTGACGATACTCCCCTCACTGTTGGTCACTCACACTGTCCAGTCTGCAACCAACTTTTCGTCTTCGCTCGAGACGCAAGAACTCATGTATGCCCTGATAAAATTCACTCTCTGTCGGCGTTGGATGAAAGCTCAGCCAATAAGCGTTCGTTAACTCTTCCAGTCTTCGATTCTGCCGTTTTTGAACGCTGGTTTCTGTTTGTGGTGGTTCTGGTCCTCATGCACAAGCCCCTCATGCGGGGTGGGGAGTTGCAATCTGGGAACAAAACTCTGACAGTGCAGCGCCTGAATGCGAGCTATTCGGTTCGGTCCCTCTTCAGCCCTGGGATAAGCGTTTCCTAGGCGCGGACAGGGCCACGAATAATCTGGGAGAGCTGTCGGCCATGGCGGAGGCGCTCTTATGGTTGTTAAATGAGGCTCCCGGAGATGCCCAATTGCCTGCAACCATCTTATACGACTCGCAATATGCGTACCAGGCCTTGACGTCCTCCAACCCCCCTGAGGCTAATGAGAAGCTATAGTCTTGACGTGCAGAGACATTTTATCTAAAGTCAGTGTTCAACGAGACATCTCCTGCATACATGTAAAGGCTCACACAGGTATTGCTGGCAACGAGTACGCTGATCAGCTGGCGAATCTTGGGGCCAAGGGTCAACTTACATCAATGTCCCCTCGGTGGCTGCACCCCTGTGACGTTCCAGAGCCGCCCCCAGCCATCTTAACGGACCACTGCTGGAGGTGTGGGAGGGTTTATTCCGGACCTTCGCACGCGCGTAATTTGGCCGGTCATGAAGCCCACTGCAAAGTCCCGGGGGCTCCCCCGGCCTACATACCGTGTCGTCACCATTGTGGTAAGCAGTTCGCTTGGCAGTATGCTTCGGGCAGGCGTAAGCAACCTCACCATGCTAGAGAGTATAGGAACATTCACGAAAAGATATTGCAGAGGAACTGATGAACTCACTCGAACATGTCCTTACTGCGACCGTGTTTTCGTTTTTGACACCACTGATGACACCATTTTGCAACATCGTTTGGAATGTGCACAGCGCCCTGAAGACGCTCCGGATGAACGGTCATCCTGGAAATGTCCTCTTTGCAAATCGCGTTTCACTTCCGGATCAAAAGAGGAACACATTCGTACCTGCCGGGGTAGCACTACTCAGAGCAAGACTTGTGTGAAGTGTCAGGCAACCTTCCAAACGCAGTCGGCTCGGGAAACGCATGAGGCTTTTTGTAGAGGCTCAGAAGAGGCTAACCTCACTTGCGAATTTTGCAACACCAAATTCCATACTTTCGGTAGTCGTATGGTTCACAAAAAAAGCATGTACTAAACGTCCCTAGCGTTGCTCGTCTGGTTGAGGTGGGAAGGTCCCGCTTGCCGGGAGACCAACCCCCCGCATAGCGCGGTGTCTTTCTCCCCCTCCCTCCTTTCTTCCTGTCACTCTTCCCTTCATGAAGGAGTTGATCGGTTTTTGGGAACTTCCTACTGGTAGCATGGTCACAGCATTGCTTGCACTTCGATATGGTTCAAACAGGATGACGCATTGCACGACCGGAGTTGCATGCTGAACTCAACAGGTTTCGGGTCACTTACGTGTCTTGCAGTCTGCCTTCTAGTGCCAGACGGGATATTGCTACTATGACTTGACATCCCTGAAAGGAATGATCTGCACGAGCTTTACATCGAACTCACTCCATGGAGTACCCGTAAACTGCTGCTTCCAGGAGGTTGAGCTTGAGTGCCAGTCTGCTCAGCTTGATTGAACTTGCTGCCAAGCTTTGTATTCGCTAGTCCACATGCAGCTCCTTTTGGTTTTGTTTGCCACCCTCCGCCGCACGCCTCCCTCCGCCGTCTTCTCGCGATGTCTGATGCTCTTGTGGCTCGCATCGAGAAGCTCGAGGATGTTGTGTCCGACTGGGCCGCAGTTACCCGCACAAGATGGATCGGTATGTGTGCATGGGAGAACCGCTTGCAGGAACTCCTGTCCCGCAAGGAACCCCTGTGGCACGTCAAAACCGAGCTCTATGTGTTGGCCCTGGAGGATCTCGAGCCCATCCTTGCATCCATCCAAGACACGGCAGTGCAGATGCAATGCCGTGCGGAGCTCCGTGAGTGCCTTTCGGCCGTAGACGATGTAGTGGGCATTTTTCCTGTTGGAGGGGGGTGGGGACACCACACAGGTGTTGACCTCCGTCACTGCCCCTCCATGTCCGCTCTTCGGATGTCACAGCTCGTGAGGCATCATTTGCGCGGTGCTGCGAGCGCGTTTTCCACCAATGGGATCGAGGTGTGGGCCCCCCTTTCCCAAAGCGATATGAAAAAGAAGCGCAACCGCCAGGGTGGGAAGGGGGGTGGTGGCAAGGGCCACTCCAAGGGTGCGGGGGGCGAGGGGGGGGGGCGCTGTAGGGACTGTGGCAGAGAGCGCGAGCGCTCCCGTGACCACCGCCGCTCTCCTGGCAGACGCTCAGGGGGACCCCCCCCCACCTTTCAACTATGGATCTGTCTACGCGGCATTTTCCACTTCGCGTAGCATACACCTTCATGCTGATCTCGAAGCTCGAAACCTTGCGCGATTGCTCAGCTGTCATGGTTCGTGCATGCGAATCTCTATCTCTCTCTCTCTCTTTCTCTCTCTCTCTCTCTCTCTCTCTCTCTCTCTCTCTCTCTCTCTCTCGCTCTCTCTCATGCAGTAACATGTCGTGCCATGTTCTTGTTTTGTTTTTTAGCTAGGACACAGACTCCGTCGAATGGAGTGCCTAAACTTGAACTGCAGGACTTGAGCTGTCATCGGAGTTGGGCTGTCTGGGGGGCAGCGATGTGTCCAAAGGAATGATACTGCAAGTGAACGTTTCTAGCGATAGCTTTCTGTCAGACGGTAGGCCTCTCTCCCTCCTCCCCTCCTCTTCCTTTTCCTCCTCCTTCTCCTTTCCGGCTCCCTCTCTCCTCCCTCCTCTCCTCTTGCTGCAGGCGTGAGTGCATGCTGTCTTGCACTTACTGCGGATGTTTCTGGATGCAGTGGGGTTTCAGTTGGTCACTTTTCGCGTTGCTAGGAGCTCAGCGGGAGGTCTGTACAGGCCGTTCGCTCCCGACCTCGACCTCGACTTCTAGCCTCGGGCTCGGGGTCCGGAGGATCGAACTTTGTGCTTTTCGCCTCTGGCCTCAAGACGTTGTCATTTATCCCGAGTTCACCCCCCGAGCCGAACTCCTCATCCTGGGCTGCTGCAGAGAGACCGTGATGCTTCTGGAAGTTGAACAGGGGAAACAGGTAATGGCCGACCTGATTCACCTTCAAGGGTGTAATGCCAATTCCTGGAATCTCGAGCGTATCACGCTCGCAATCCAACTTCGCTTTCATGTGTCTGAGAAACGGTGCTCTGCCTGGAATCACAGCTGCCTGTAGAAAACCGTCACGGGTGCGCAATCGAACCGGGGCACCTAACCTGATACGAAGCCTTAGCTTCGCCGTTATAATGCGCTCAAATCTTACATCAGATGGACCCCGTTCGGCATGCAGCTCCCCGCCTGAACACTGCTCGAGTTCTTCCCTCCAACGCTGTTCATTCTCTCCGCCCACAAGCGTTGAGGTACACCCAGTATCTGCAATACCGTGTCCAGGAGGGGTGACCAGGCAGGCTTGTTCAAATTTTGGGCTAGACTCTACCGACTCTACCCTTCAATATCCAAACCTAATCTCACGTCTTCAGAAAGATACCGATCCAACAAACTCTCATTCACCGAAGGCAAGGCTCAAGACCGATGTGACCATGAAGCTAAACTCTGGCTGGAAGGCTGGCCCCGTAGCAGACAATGCAGCATTCGCTGATGCAATCTCTGCCGATGCCCATCCGAGATGCTGGGAGCCGTTGGGATCACCTCGCCGCTGACTCTGACCGCGACGATTGGAGCCCTTCCTTCTTGCCTTCCTTTCCCCGCCTCGACGGAGGATGAGTCTTCTGTCTCGACCGGGGGTTATTGGAAGGCCGATGCTGATGACCAGGACGCCACTAAAAATCTGATCTTGTCCTTCCGGAACTACTGGAACCCGAGGGTCCCTTGCGACCACGACCCTTGGACCCTTTTGCTGATGTCGTGGCGCTGCCACCTGCTGCAGAGGCCTCCAAATAGCCGATGAGGGCGGTGTCATACTCCTCGTCCTGAGGTTCGTCGCTGCTGGCTCGTCGTCGTCAGGATACTCGTCTTCGTCTGCGTCGTCGTTCTCGTCGTCCGACTCTGCGAAATCGTCATCTGGAACATCTGCTAGAACCCCTTGCGCAGCATTTCGGGAAGTGCCGGCAGCGACTACCGCATCAAGTTTTCGTCTCAGGAGCTCAGACACGCTGTCATAACGCAATGAACCACCTGAGCTGCGAAGCAAGCTAGCCCGCGTCTGAAGAGAAATGCCCACGAGCCTCAGAAAAGGAAGCCCTTCACGACTTCTGGAAACTTGAATGGGCTGGGTCAAATGTCGACAGTCCTCCTCGAGGGCGACCTAGCGGACACTCGCCGCTTGTGACTTATGTACAGCACCGCGAGTGACAAAGGCGCCGGATGAACAATGTATAGCCGTAAAGCAGGTCATCTCCGGCCAGCGAGGTTTGTTGTATAGAATGCTTCACATGCCTCGTGCCACGTCGACACCACGGAACGGCGTCATGCAAGTTGTGAGATCGCCCCTGGTGTGGGATTGCTGTCTGTCTAGATTGAGTGCATCCTAATTTTTGGCCGGAGTGTGTCTCCTGGAAATCGAGGTGAAGGGGAGGCTGTTACAGATTCCCCGGACGTGCGGCCCCTGCTTGCAGGTCATATCTAGGATCACGAAGTTGACTGCGGGCATGTTCCCTGTAGTTGATGATGTGATAGGGCCGTTTCTCGGTCTGACCTCAGCTTTTGTGCTGGGTTCTGGTGATTTCTGGATTTTACCCAGTGCTTTTTTGTACAGCTCGGTTTGGCTCGCTGTGCCCGTTGCACCGCCGCGCGCGGCTGGGCACAGTGGACGGCCAGCGTCATAGTGTACGCTGACTTTTTGTCGCTCGGGCCTTCTGAACCGCTTTGCGCGGCGGCCCGGGCAGCACTTCCTAAGGATCGACTCGACACGACTCGAAACTTGAATGGCTCCACAGTTGGTGGCACTGGCGCAGCCGGAGCGGATTCGGTCTGGGGAATATTCGCCGTCTCGGCATGGTGCTGCTGAAGCCTAACCATGCATGTAGTTCAGACTCTGCCGCCTAAACTCCGCCTTCTGCAAATCTGCACGGCGCCTCCGATCCTGGTGCAGCTCTTCTGATTCTTCTGTCACCACCTCTTCCGCCTTGGCGCAGGTCGTCTCAAAGCGAGCTGTGACGGCAGTAGTCTCTTCGCTTTGATGACGACGAAGCTTGCAGAACAGCGTTTCAAACCATTCTGACATTTCTTGTTTGGGAGTGTACTGGAAACGGGCATCGAAAATGGCCAACATGCGTTGCACACCTTGATCATTGCGAAACTCCCCCGGGTCCCTCTCACGGAAGGCTCCGAAAGCCGAACCTGAAAGATTCGCAATGAGCCGAGGTGCAGCTAGCCCTTGCTTAGAGTCTTCAAGGCCGCGCGTCTCCTGTACTCCCTGTAACTGTCACGTTTGCCATCAAAGGCAGGAACTCTACATGTGTCGCCGTTCTTGTCCATGTTCTTGCTCTGGATGATGTGGATAGGTGGAAAAAGCAGCCATAAGCAGCCAGCTCCCTGGATCAATGCTCCGAGGGCTTGAATCAAGCTCCGCTACCATGTTAATACAGGCAACGCTTTCCCCACCATTAGCAGGAGAATGCTGATCAGGCTGGCACCTGGAAGGAGTGCTACCTCAATGCAGAATGGAATGCCTATGGGATGTGTCTCTACATTCAGCATGTCTGCAACACAAGATGTGTAGTCTCTTTTCCAAGCCAACATGAACTCTTCGATGCATCTTGAGCCAAAGTCCCGTGGAAATTGGCTGAGTAAGCTCTGTCTGTCCCTGACAAGCTCACGCGACACTAACTGCCATGCAACCAGGATGCTGCACACTACGGGTGCCAAGCTATCTCCAGTTTGAAAATTACCTGCCCAGGCACTTGAAGCCACCAAGCGGAGCTGCTGTCGCCAGCAGCACTCCAGGGCCCGCGTCACAGTCACTGGGGCCTTGATTCGGACTGTGTTGGTGTTAGGTTCTATCTTGGCTGCAGGTCCCTATGCTGAGAGGAGGCAAACAACCGACCCTCGCTTTGGCCTCCGCTGTGCCCCGTCGCCGAGCCCAGACCTCATGCACATGGCGCAAGGGCTGACCCAGCTGAGAAGCCACGAGGGATGTGGCACATCTTTACTTAGGCGGTGGAAGCACTTTCCCTTATAGGTGCTGATCTAGAACGGCGCGGCTTCAAACCAAAATTGCATCAACTCGACCAGTTCTCCCCGAGGCGCACGGCGGGCGGCGAACTGTGCCTGACGCATTTCATCCATCACCTTAAGAGCACACGCCGACGGATGCAAGAAGCGAGAGACCGAGAGACGGAGACATACTCCTCAGCCCGGCAGCTTCGCCCAGTCTCTGCTCTGCCCAAACCTGTGCTGAGGAGCACCATGCTAAGCGGGTGCACGTGTGCATTGTGCAGATTATGCAGGAAAGCAGTCAGCCCCATCCAGAGTATGACGACATGAGGCAACGACGAACGAAGGTGGACGGCCAGCCAAGAACTCATGCTCAAGACCAGCATATTCGCAGACGATTTGCTAAATTGTCCGTGGAACCTGACCCTGCATCTGACAAGGCACAGGCAAATCCAGGATGAGGGCGATTGACTTGATGCAACCGGCTCGGTCCGAGTCCAGCCATTCCTGACAATGTCACCCCCTCCCATCCAACCCCCACATCTCACAGACCGCCCCAGCCAGCAAAAGCCTGTCCATCCTGACTACTAGAAGCAGCTGATAACCTCCCTCCATGTATATGCCCCTTGCAACCGTTCTAGATCATACCGGAAGCATACTTGTTTTGCTTTGGTACTTGGACCTTCTGGTTCTTGGTCCTCCTCATACCATCATGCACTCAACCATAAACCTAAGCTAACCCAGGCCAAAACCAAAACCCGAACCGCATAAGCTCAGTGATTTCAAGACACTACGACTTTCACACAGTGGGTAAGCCCTCGGATTCCATGACTGAAACGGCAGAATCATCATCAGCATCGCCTTACGTCTTATCTTTCGCCGCCGTCGCCATCACACCGCGCTGGCCATCATCATCATCATCATCATCACCATCATCATCATCATCATCATCACCATCATCATCATCATCATCATCATCATTCATCATCATCGCAGTAAGAAGCATCATGATCAAAGCAACCCGAAGACAAAGAACAGATCCCACACCCCGAACTCTCTGTGAATTGAGCCCATGCATCACGGACCCACTTCACCAAGGTTCGGTAAGGTCGCGGCCGTCCGCCTTGGCCAAACCAAGCGACGTGATTGTGCTTTCAAGCATAAAAACCACGAGACTGAGGGTGTATGTCTGTGTGTCTGTATATGTATATGTCATATTTATGCGTCCAAGAGTGCCGGAAGCCGCTAGCGCCAAATTTCGCCACAAGTCGGTTGGTTCGGACATGTTGATCATCTCCTCATGTCCCCAAAATGCTTTAGTTCGGGCACGTTGCTGTCTTCGCACATCCACTTAATTCCAGTTTTAAAAGAATTGTACACACACACACACACACGCACACATTTGCACTAAGTTCTGGTGTGCATGCATGCATCCCTCTGCGCGTACGGCCACACACTTGTGCACGGACGGCTCTTGCCAGATGTATGTGTGCTGCGGTCGACAGTGCGCGAAGGAGGATATACTATATGTACATTGCACCATGCCAGCACTCATGTAGGTTGGGAGCGGCTCAAGTCCTGGTTGAAGTTGTGAGAGCCGCATGCATGTAACCCTGAAGTGTGAACCGACAGAAGAGACGGTTGTCCAGATCGGAAGCAGATGCGACGGTAGACAACCTGGTAGCCCTAATCCAGGTGTCATTCCATTGCCACCTAGTGGCACTCAGCAAGGACAAGAGGTTGCTGAGCCGATCTCGCCATCGAGCCTGGAAGGTCAAGAAGATCAACGCTTGTTGCGGATTTCATGCCTCCACATCAAAGCAGAGCATGCGCTCTTTCTTGCACACCAGACCTCTTCTGACTTCAGGTAGCCCTGGTAAGGCTTTGTCCCGTGCGGATCCTGGTTGCCACAGGAAGCAACAAAACAACAAGAGCACTCCGCGGGCATCCTCGTCTGAGGAGTCGCCCAAAGCCGAAGTCGGCGCTGTGAAGTTGCAAAGGAGAAGTCCTTGGAAATCGGAAGCCGAGAGGCTCACGCGTATGGACGCTTTGACGCTTCGCTCCAAGGTGCTCTCGAGGATTCCAGTGGCTGCCTGAAGGCCAAGCCCAGGTTTTTGGAACTGCTGTCCCGCGGCAACATAAGCCTGGATCCAAGATTATCCAAGGTGCATGCAGAGGAAGCACGTACGAAGCTCGAAGGGAGTAGCCTGCTGTCGGCTGTTTAAGACATGTGGCCCTTGCTGACCGTATACACCACATACGGCGTCCGCTGCAGAAGACTACATTGCAGCAGTGAGCAGTGCGTTTGTGCAACTTGCAATAGCAGTGCCATCATGACTGCGCAAGAACACACAAAACATTCAAAAAGACCGTCTGCGTGAGGGTTGGGCTTTGGATGGCCGGTCGATCACCATGCGCTGGGCGGCCGTGAGTGGCAAGGAACCTTCCGCAGTGATCCGAGGATCTGCGACGATCCGCAGTGGCAAACAACACCATGCACTTTGACTTTGACTTTCGGCCAACCGAGCTCACGAAACTGATGGAAGACATCGCCAAGCCACGCGCGCACTGCGAGCCGGCGGCCAGCAAAGGCATCAGGGATGCGACGGGCGCAGTCAACCTCAGACGGGCCGCGTGAAATTGGGGTGTGCTCTCTTTCCGGTATGCTTCAGGGATCCATTGTGTCAATGATCGTCGCCTTAACCCGTCTGCACATCCAGCGTGCATCGCGCGAATGAAGTGGCCGAATGACGACCATCCTTGCCCATAAACTGCATGATGCCAAGTTGCGGTGATCATCACAAGCGAGCCCAGCTTCTTGTCGAAGGAAGCACGCTGTCGCGAGACCGGATGGAAGATGGCCGAGAGAAGGATCCTTAAACTCTCTTTGGCGAAGCACACAGCACCGTCGAGATGCAGGCAATGGTGAAAGCATGCCACACATAATGCCGTTGAGTAACTCTTGCATTTGTTTACAGCTTCAGTTCCCACACAGTCGCTAACACCATTTAATACGTTAAGCGTGAGGGGATTAGGTTGCGGCTCGACCCGACGCGCTACACAGGCCGAGCGTGTCCCAGGAGAGTGTGACTACAGAAGCCAACTTTGACCTGGTCAACAAGGAGGTGTCCCAACCCGCTCCTGCGGGCGCAGGCGGACTCAGTCAAAGGACAGCACGAGCACACGAGGCAGCGGTCGAGGACAAACGCTCGTGATGGCGGTGGCAGAGGCCGTGGTCGTCAGGGTCCTACTAGGATCTGGGGCGACCTTGGGCAGTTAGCCACCCTCATAGCGCCCAGGCTGCTGTCGTCTTCGACAACAACAACAACAACCACAACCCTCGAGGAGCATTCAAGACATTGGTGCCGTTTTGACCTCAATTCGCTCTTCAAGTGTTGAAGTCCTGCAAGATATACAGATCCACATTAACATTGTTCGGCTTGTCGGGATCGTCTGCGTGGTTTACAAATCCCGCCGTTGTGCAGGCTTTGCGAATTTGGTGCCCTCGCAACACTCGGAGTGTCGAGATTCCTCGCCGCCATTACATGATACAAAGCATATGGGCATCTAATCTCCAGGGCACTGGGGACTTCCAAGTCCTGCGGCGCTCCCAACAGCCGAGGCCTGCGGGGAACATGTGACTGAGGAGAGATCTGAGTTGTTTTGCGGGTGCCTGAAGAGACCAGCTGGGCATGTGCTGGTGCTTGCTCCGCTCGACCAACTCCTCTAAAGGCAGCGCCTGAGGCCGAGGCTCCAGGGGCAAACCCCATCCCCAGCCCCATCCCCAGCCGTCAGCCGCCCGGCCTTCACTTGACCAGATTGCCGGTCACTGAAGGTGTGGCACTCATGCAGCGCAATCCTCAACTCCTGTGCACGAGCTGTACATCTCAAGATCGCCGAATCCAGCTCCCGCACCTGGCTTGAGAAAGCGTCTACCACAAAAGCGGGCTGCTCATCCCAGATCAGCTCACCATCTTCACCTGGATCTGTGCAAGGCCCTAGCTGCACGCGAGGAAGAGAAAGGTCGGGGACGAGAGGGAGGGAGCGAGGGCCATTGATGGTTGGATCGCACTTTTTGCCGCCCACGGGCTGTGTGCTGCAACGGATCTCCAAGTGGCGGCGCCAAGAGAAAGACCTCGGAGCGCACAATTGCACCACCCAACCGTCAGAACTTCCGCGACACTCAGGTCACTGCAGCAGCGGACGGCGCGCTCGGCACCAAAGCTGTTTCGCTCCGCCGTGACCTCAAAAGAAAACATATTGCCTGCATATTGCAAGCTTTGCCAGCATGCTTCCTCCAAGCAGGCCAAAGAGTGGCGCTCGCTCACCCTGTTCACGAGCATAATTTGGATTGTGGCATCCCACATGTAAATGCACGAAACACTGTTGCCACAAAGCACTGCTGAGGGCTCCAATTTGGTTGAAAGGAAGGCCGGTTTCAGACCGCCGCTGAGAGTACGGACGCCGTGCAGTTTACGCCACAAGGTGACACATGGGATTCGGAAACACCAGCCGGTTGATGGCATGCTGGCGTTTACGGGCTCTTTACTTTTTGATAGTCTGCTTTCGGCTTCGAAAATACTGGGATCTAGATACTTCATGCCTTATGAAGCTTGAGAAGGAATCTTGTTGCAACCCAGCAGCACCACAAGCGCCAAGAACTCGGCAGAAGAGCACGCCCTGGAGCCGCGGAAAACTCTCAGAACTCGCAAACAATTCCAACTCTCCTCGGGTCGGGCATGCTGCAGCCGCTCGAGAGGCCACAGCGTGCCGAAGGGCAGCGGCAAGCGATTCCTTGGCTGCGTGCTGCGCTGGCAGACGGCACAGAGCCTCCCGGTTCCTTCGACGGGCCACGGCAGCACCAAATCTCGGGCAATCGTGGAGTCGACCAAAGCGATCAGGGCCTTTCGAGCCTGAGGCGAAAGCCGAAGCATTCCCAGGGCGAAAGAGCGACTGAAAGCTGAGAAACTGTTGACTTCAGCTTGCTGCCAAGTTTCTCGCTCTGGCAGGAAGGGTAGTGAACCCGCCGGTGTGCGCAGACTCAAATCCACTGCTGGCGGGTTCACGAAGGCGATGGTGAGTCCCTGTGTCAGCCTCGAGGCTGGCGAAAGAGAGCTGGTAGCTGGGCCCTGTATAAGGCTCTTCTTTTTCACTGCCAAGCTACGGAAGGTGCGGGGTCAGATACCGGAACGACAGAAGGAGCGATCCTCGAAGTGAGAACCGGTCTACCTCGGTTCTCCACACATCAACAGCACGCGGGCAGACAACTACCTTTAAGAATGACTTCTTGCAGGCATTGCAAGCAAGGCCGAGCGCTCAGAAATGTCACAGTACGCTGAGTTTGCGGTGCCTTCAGGTTACGACAGATTACCAGTAGTATGTGGCACCAAGCTCATGGTTAAGCCATGCTAAGCCACGCTGACCGACAATCCGACCAGTCTGCCCAACATGAGGCTCAAAGTCAGGTCAACGTCCTGCCATTCGCACACCAATAAAAACAGCTGCTAGGACTTTTACGGTGTAGGGTGCAATGTTTCAGTTTCGGGTTGTCGCAGTCAGCGCGATGTCCAAGATGCAGTCCTTGCCACAGAATTCCACTTCGGCGGAGATAGTAATGGCGCGTTCGGTGGTGGTGGCCGGGACCATCGACAGAGAAAGCACCTTCAGAGGCTCCGTGCCAAGGCAGATCCTGTCGAACTTCAACGCAGCTGTGACGTTCTGAAGAATTTGTTGGAACTCACCCTTGACGACATCTTCCTCCAGCATGCCACGGAGGCTTGGCCAAAGTTCGGCAAGGATGCAGTTCACGAAGGCAGGATCTAGCAAGTCCTTTTTGCGTGTAGGCAAAAACCGAGCGCTCAGCCGCCGCAGGCCTCCGACCACACCGGCACGCAGGTGCGAGTCTCGCGAGTCGCGTGAGTCGAGCCGCTGCCGCCCAGGCCGGAGATCGCGAAGCCCAGCATAGCCTTCGGCCCACTCTGAAAGGGGCGGAGGTCTGCGCGAGCTTTGTGGGAAGCTGGCACAAGCCACAGCAGCCAGGAAGTTTGCTGAGGCCACCGTGAGCCATCGTGAGCGGGACTCGAAAATCCGTGCTGCAGCCGCATCGCTGACGAACGCGCAGCAAGCCACTGCAAGGGCCACCGGCCTCCAGGCGATCTGCTTCAACACGTGGCCCCTCGGCACGGTACCAAGACAGCAGCACCCGATGCAGGCCAAGGCCTGTTGCCGAGTGTTGGTGCAAAAACAGCTTATTAGGTTGAGGACGAGGAAGATGACGACGATGATGATGATGACGACGACGATGACAATGATGACGCGGGTGAGAAAGATGAGGATGATCATGAAAGCCCCCACGGCTCACAACGTCGTGCCGGGTTTGTGCGTGGTCTGTTTTTGCGATTGTGTGTTGGGGCTCTTCTTCAGCGAAACTAGATGCTGGCAGATGGCCCGTCGGACGAGCTTGATCCCAAGGAGGCCGCAGAGGGCGACACCGAGCCGTGCAAGGGCCGCCTGGTCCTGATGATCTTCGGCCTCAGAGCCTTCACTTCCTATGCCACAATGTGTTAACGGACCACATGTGTCTGCAATCGGTGCTGCGAGGATACCACCTGCAAGCGACCCGACCGACCACACTTGAGCAGCGGATGATGTCGATGAACCAGCCATGGCAAGAATGGCGGTTCCTGGATGACGACGAAAACGGGGCCAGAATTGCCGGCCCTCACCTGCCAAACGGCAGACTCGAGAGATCGCCCAGCGGATCTACGAGTGTGAGTGAAAGTGAAGACACAGACTCCAGCGCAGACGCAATGGAGAGCCTATATCTCATGGGATCCAGCTTTGACGTAGCAAAGGAGCATTTCATGGGACTCCTCAGGCAGGAGTTGCCAGAGACCCACCCATGCATGTTCTTCAGCAGCACGCAAGACCGTTTCAGTAGGTCATCACCTCTACAAGCTCTTGGAGCAGAGGAAGCCGAGCAGGATGAGAAGCAATCGCCAAGCAAGGTGGCTGTGGCCGCCAACGCTCTGATGTCCACCTGCTCCACTCCACGCACTTCAGCTTCGACACGGCCTGCCGAGCTTGCAGGATTGCGTCACTGCGTGAATCAAGCCGCTCCTGCACTCATGAGCCCAGGGACGCAACTGACTTCACACCTACCTCCAAAGGTCCAACCAACAACCGAGAATGGATCGCCACACCCGTGCCACACGTGGTTCCCTGCCTCGAAGGTGTGCCATCTGCAGTGTTCCCTGGAAACATCGCTTGGGAACAAACGACAGTCAGGCATCGCCGGCGTTGCCAACAGCTCTTCACAACCTTGTCAAAAGACTCCATGGGAAACCTCCGGCTGAGCAAGCTGCTGATGGCATCTAAAGCCAACACAGAGATCACGCGCATGGGACGCCCCATCTGCCGTGCTGCAGCCCCTGCAAACCCTTGCGACTTCAGGACATCTTGCACATGCTGGCAACGTGCAAGGATGCTTCACGTGCCAGGGTGGCTGCCTTCTTCAGTTGCAGAGTTCAGAAGCCCAAAAAAGTGCGCACTTTCAGTTTGACAGTGGATACGATTATCCCAATGAAAAGTGTAACGTGTATTCGCGTTTCTTCGAGAAGGGTACGATTGTCTGTGGCCGATCCACAGTCAAAGCCCCCTGCAGAAGAAGGGACTTGGCCAGGAACTCCGCTGGCCGCAGCATGTTTTGAACAATGCTGCTCTCTGTAGTGAGGCGTCCTTGAACCCACTGTCAGCATCCCCTCGCTGGCCAGCTGTCTGGCCGCCTCCGTGGCGGAGGCCTGCAAGAAGCTGTTCTGATTACTGTGCTTGCTGTTGCCTGGTCCTAGGTCGGCTGTCTCGCTGTTGCCCGGCTGGCGGCCTTCTGGCATCATGTCCATGCTCGCCATCCTAACGGCATTGATGAACCCTGAATGATTGCTCGCACATCTGTCTGTCTCCGGGCCTCGGAAGTTTGACTGCGAAAGAGGCGGACTGTCTGGTTAGCTGCACGGCTGCGGCTGTTCCCGGCCGACCATGTGTGCATCAGTCTGTCCCTGTCTCTCTCTATCTATCTCGCTCTATCTCTTTCTCTCTCTCTCTCTCTCTCTCTCTCTCTCTCTCCCTCTCTCTATCTCTTTCTCTCTCTCTCTCTCTCTCTCTCTCTCTCTCTCTCTCTCTCTCTCTCTCTCTCTCTCTCTCTCTCTCTCTCTCTCTCTCTCTCTCTCTCTCTCTCTCTCTCTCTCTCTCTCTCTCTCCTGGGCTACGTGACGGTCAAATCCCCCGGGCATCATGCCACCCAACGTGTTGTTGGGCACAGGGGAGTGAGAAGAGAATCGGATGTAGATCGTCCAGTAGGCTAAGGCCATAAAGTCTGCGATAAGGGCAAGATGAGGACGATCGTACATTCTCAACGACACATGCAAAAGGCCATATAACCCCCCCGCTGCTCTAGGAATACAAGAATACGCATGATGCTGAAGAAATGGAGAAACGTAGGAGGAAGAATACGTATTTCGGTGGGAAATGGCGAAAGTATCAGTGCCAAGGACGTTTCTGGATTTGGAAGATTGCAGCTTGTTTGTGTTCTCTCTCTCTCTCTCTCTCTCTCTCTCTCTCTCTCTCTCTCTCTCTCTCTCTCTCTCTCTCTCGCTGTCTTTCAACAGAGTGGCAAGCACAACAATCAGCAGCTGCCGGTGCTGTTAATGACTGCCCCTGCAGCAAGCCTTGCTGACTGCACGATAGGTATATTTATTGGGCATGACTGTGGATGTGCAGGCATGTAGTTCGTGTACAGAGCATGATGCTCAAAGGCATGGAGTCAGGGCATTCAGGTCCGGTTTGGTTCCAGTTGCCAGGGCTCCAGACTCATTTCCCTCAGGATAGCTTAGAGTTGAACAGATTCTTTTCACAGGTCAGAGAGCACTTGACTGTTTCTTTCGTGAGAGTTTGTGCTGCCGGGAAAAAGCAGTCGGGTCGGGCATGGAGTTCTTGCCTGCCCAACGGGCAGGGCAGACGACTGATTAGTCAGTTAAATAAGTAATGATGCGGCTATTTCTCAGATCTTGAAACGAGCAGATCAACGACTTCTCAGAGCTTGAAGCAAGCAGATCAGCGACCTTTCAGAGCTTGAAACCAGCTCGGTTGGCGACTTCTCAGAGATTTGATACGAGCAGATCAGCGACTTCTCAGAGCTTGATCTGCTTTAGCAAGCAGATTAGCAACTTCTCAGAGCTTGATATCAGCGACTTATCAGAGCTTGAAACAAGCAGATCAGCGACTTCTCAGAGCTTGAAACGAGCAGATCAACGACTTCTCAGAGCTTGATACGAGCAGATGAGCGACTTCTCAGAGCTTGAAACCAACAGATCAGCGACTTCTTCGAGCTTGAAACAAGCAAGCAGATCAGCGACTTCTCAGAGCGTGATGCAATGCGAGCAGATCAGCGACTTCTCAGAGCTTGAAGCAAGCAGATCAGCGACTTGTCAAAGCTTGAAAGCAACTCGGTTGGCGACTTCTCAATGCTTGAAACAAGCAGATCAGCGACTTCTCAGAGCTTGAAGCAAGCAGATCAGCCACTTCTCAGAGCTTGAAACCAGGTCGGTTGGCGACTTCTCAGAGCTTGAATCGAGAAGATCAACGACTTCTCAAAGCTTGATACAAGCAGATCAACGACTTATCAGAGCTTGAAACAAGCAGATCAGCGACTTCTCAGAGCTAGAAACAAGCAGTTCAGCGAGCAGATGAGCGACTTCTGAGAGCTTGAAACAAGCTGTTCAGCGACTTCTCAGAGCTTGAAACAAGCAGATCAGCGACCTCTTCCATCAAGAAATCAATTAAATTTTTCCTTCAATTAGTTAGTGAATTACACTTACACTCCTGCACTTAGGCCTGGGTTTAAGTATTCATGAATAGTTAAGTAACAATGTCCAGCAAGGCTCGCTGCCTGATGCAGGGACGGTCTTGCTGCCTGAACCTGCTGTAAAGCTGAAGCTTGTTTTGCTTGCTCCCTGTCTGTAGGACTCCCCATGGGCCAGGTCTCTGCCGACCTGAAGCTGGTCTTCCTCGAGCAGCAAGGCGCACAAGTGGCCAACTGTCACTGGGGATTTGTTTAAGAGGATCCCAGGCCTAGGAGATCTACGAGGCGCTGGGAGGCTTGACCGGCTGTGCGCTTTTGAACCTCCGGTTGTCCATGAAGCGCGACTCCCTGCCTCGTTCTCCTCTAGCCAAGAAGTTGGCCGAACCGCTCACTCCAGGTCCGGCCCACACCTCGTCTACCACCACTCATTCATGCACAGACACCATGCTGCAGGTGACGACACCTCCCGCGATGCTCGATGCAAGGTCCCGGGCTTCACACTGCCAGTGATCAGATATCAGGGTGGCCCGAGTAGTGGCCACCTTAGCTCTCTTCTTTACAACCTTGCATCAGTGCTGGACCTGTGCCGTTGTCGCCACTTATTGTCGTAGCGTCAGCATGACGCAGCGGAGCTTATAGACTTTCTGCACAGATCCTGCACTCACTCACCCGAGCCACACTACCATGCACCGGGTTGGCCAGTTAAGCTTCAACATGCCTACCTCCTTCTCCCAACCCTGCAGATACCGGTCTTCCCTAATAACTCGGACCTCGTTGCGCATTGGGAGTCCTGCCATGTGATCGGCTTCATGGTGCAATCCCCGCGGCAGGTCACTACACTTTTGCATTGGAAGCAAACGGCCAACAATAGCTGTGGACGATGAAAAAGCACCGACTGTTCTTCTGACAGTCAACTCGACCACATCAACACAGCGCTATGCATCAGTGCTCTTGCGCAGCAACAAGCCATCCGTGCTCTGCATCCTGAACTACAAGCCATGGACAGGTGTCGCGAGCCACGCACTCGGGAGGAAGACATCAACTGGTTCGCCAGTCGGCTCAGCCCTGCTGCAGATCCAAGTGCAACGTCTTTCGGAGAGGCTTCAAGCGGGTGACAGGCTTGGAGGACCGTCTACTGCGAAGCCGTCTGTTGAACAGTTCGAGCTACCAAGTCGTTTAAGGCGCTGCGGCACCTGTTAATCTTTGCTGACTCCATTGAAACAAGCAGATCAGCGACTTCTCAGAGCTTGAAACGAGCAGATCAACGACTTCTCAGAGCTTGATACGAGCAGATGAGCGACTTCTCAGAGCTTGAAACCAACAGATCAGCGACTTCTTCGAGCTTGAAACAAGCAAGCAGATCAGCGACTTCTCAGAGCGTGATGCAATGCGAGCAGATCAGCGACTTCTCAGAGCTTGAAGCAAGCAGATCAGCGACTTGTCAAAGCTTGAAACCAACTCGGTTGGCGACTTCTCAATGCTTGAAACAAGCAAATCAGCGACTTCTCAGAGCTTGAAGCAAGCAGATCAGCCACTTCTCAGAGCTTGAAACCAGGTCGGTTGGCGACTTCTCAGAGCTTGAATCGAGAAGATCAACGACTTCTCAAAGCTTGATACAAGCAGATCAACGACTTATCAGAGCTTGAAACAAGCAGATCAGCGACTTCTCAGAGCTAGAAACAAGCAGTTCAGCGAGCAGATGAGCGACTTCTGAGAGCTTGAAACAAGCTGTTCAGCGACTTCTCAGAGCTTGAAACAAGCAGATCAGCGACCTCTTCCATCAAGAAATCAATTAAATTTTTCCTTCAATTAGTTAGTGAATTACACTTACACTCCTGCACTTAGGCCTGGGTTTAAGTATTCATGAATAGTTAAGTAACAATGTCCAGCAAGGCTCGCTGCCTGATGCAGGGACGGTCTTGCTGCCTGAACCTGCTGTAAAGCTGAAGCTTGTTTTGCTTGCTCCCTGTCTGTAGGACTCCCCATGGGCCAGGTCTCTGCCGACCTGAAGCTGGTCTTCCTCGAGCAGCAAGGCGCACAAGTGGCCAACTGTCACTGGGGATTTGTTTAAGAGGATCCCAGGCCTAGGAGATCTACGAGGCGCTGGGAGGCTTGACCGGCTGTGCGCTTTTGAACCTCCGGTTGTCCATGAAGCGCGACTCCCTGCCTCGTTCTCCTCTAGCCAAGAAGTTGGCCGAACCGCTCACTCCAGGTCCGGCCCACACCTCGTCTACCACCACTCATTCATGCACAGACACCATGCTGCAGGTGACGACACCTCCCGCGATGCTCGATGCAAGGTCCCGGGCTTCACACTGCCAGTGATCAGATATCAGGGTGGCCCGAGTAGTGGCCACCTTAGCTCTCTTCTTTACAACCTTGCATCAGTGCTGGACCTGTGCCGTTGTCGCCACTTATTGTCGTAGCGTCAGCATGACGCAGCGGAGCTTATAGACTTTCTGCACAGATCCTGCACTCACTCACCCGAGCCACACTACCATGCACCGGGTTGGCCAGTTAAGCTTCAACATGCCTACCTCCTTCTCCCAACCCTGCAGATACCGGTCTTCCCTAATAACTCGGACCTCGTTGCGCATTGGGAGTCCTGCCATGTGATCGGCTTCATGGTGCAATCCCCGCGGCAGGTCACTACACTTTTGCATTGGAAGCAAACGGCCAACAATAGCTGTGGACGATGAAAAAGCACCGACTGTTCTTCTGACAGTCAACTCAACCACATCAACACAGCGCTATGCATCAGTGCTCTTGCGCAGCAACAAGCCATCCGTGCTCTGCATCCTGAACTACAAGCCATGGACAGGTGTCGCGAGCCACGCACTCGGGAGGAAGACATCAACTGGTTCGCCAGTCGGCTCAGCCCTGCTGCAGATCCAAGTGCAACGTCTTTCGGAGAGGCTTCAAGCGGGTGACAGGCTTGGAGGACCGTCTACTGCGAAGCCGTCTGTTGAACAGTTCGAGCTACCAAGTCGTTTAAGGCGCTGCGGCACCTGTTAATCTTTGCTGACTCCACAAACGTGGCGCGCGAGCCTGCCATGACGATTGGCCGGTCCCGGTAGTGGACTGTACGGCACTCGCTGGACGAAGGACTCTTCTTCAATAAATGATGATGAGGGCGATGGCGATGGTGATGATGATGATGATGACGACGACGAGGATGGTGGTGGTCGCGATGATGATGGTGATGATGGTGATGATTGATGACGACGATGATGAGGACGAGGATGCTGGGTGCAGCATCGTCACCCGGACCCCAAAAGTATGTAGAATAATCGCCTGTCGTAAGTGTTGGGCCATTACTTTATTCTCTTGGCATTCATTATCTATATACTATATACTTTGGCGTCCTTTTTCTTACCATGCTGTCTTTGCAAAATGTGCTCTGAAAAAAAACAAAACCTTGCTTGTGCGTCCACTGCCTGCGCGAATGATGCAAACAGCAAGTGGAGCAGCAAACCGCGCCCAACTGCTGAAGCCGACAGGATCCTCAAGCTCAATCCAACACAACACTCCGATAAAGACATCTTACCAGCATCAGCAGCGGCACCTTGCTCGTCGCCGTGGGTCATCGTCATGGTCATCATCACCGTCATCAACATCCTCATCATCAACATCATCGACAACAACCGCGGCGGCGGCGGCAGCAGCGGCGGCAGCAGCGGCGGCAGCAGCAGCAACAACAACAACAAGGTACAAACAAAAACTGCAGCCCCGTTTGTACCTTGTTGGTACAATCAAAAACTGCAGCCCCGTCAACCCATATATCTGCTTTTTGTCTGTACAATAAATAAAGACAAAAACAGGAGCCCCGTCATGTTGTTTTACCCCCCAACAACACCACCACCACCACCACCACCACCACCAGCAGCAGCAGCAGCAGCAGCCTCAGCAACAACACAGTGCCTGTGGATGCCTGTGATGTATACAGTTTGGTTTGCATCTTCAATGGATTTCGTCTGTATTTCAGTGGATTTGGTGTATATGTCAATGGATTTCGTGTGTATTTCAAAGGATTTCGCGTGTATTTCAGTAGGATTTCGTGTGTAGTTCAGTGGATTTGGCGTGGATTTGGTGTGTATTTCAATGGATTTCGTGCGTATTTCGCTGGATTTCGTGCGTATTTCAGTGGATTTGGTGTGTATTTCAGTGGATTTAATGTGTATTTCAGTGGATTTGGTGTGTATTTCAGTGAATTTGGTGCGTACTTGGTGTGTATTTCAGTGGATTTTGTGTGTATTTCAATGATTTTGGTTGTCCGCTGTGCGGATTAAATATGCATTTGCGAGGCCTGTACAAACTACTGTATAGTTACTGGTAACTATAGTTTCGAATGCACGAGTATCCAATGCAAACCCCTCAAAATTCCAGACAAGCCCTTCCAACACCCATCAGTTCCTATACCTGTGGTGGAAACGCGGTGTAATGTGGGCGGTTGTTGCAAGGGGGGGGGGGGGGGGTCAAAACAACAGACGGAGCTCCAGTTTTTGCCTCTACTACAGGGGGTAGAGACAAAGTCCTGATTTCGCTGGTGCCTTTGTCTCTACCCGCTGTAGAGGCCAAAACTGGAGCCCCGTCTGTTGTGTTGAGCCCCCCCCTTTTACAACAACCACCCAGCCTACACCGGGACAGTTGGTGTGTAAACCATGGTTTGCACTTCCCAAAACACCCTATGCAGTCGCCGGAAGCATTCCCAATTGCTTCTAATTAACAACAAGTACGGGCTGCTGTTTGTGTCTGTACCAACAACAACAACAACAGCAACAGCAACAGCAACAGCAACAGCAACAACAACAACAGAAACTTTAACATCATCAAGAACGGCACCAACAACCAGTAACAGCAACAGCAACAGGCAACAGGCAACAGCGGCAAGCGCAACCTCCAATCATCATCATCATCATCAACATCATCATCACCATTATTGTTCTGATAATCGTCGCCATCGTCTTAAGTATTAATAGCATGCTCACGGCTGCTGTAAGTGTCGCCTAGCTGCCTAGCTATTGTCCTTCATCAATGGAACTTCGCAAGTCGTCGGCGCAAGCAACCTTTGTCCGGCAGAGCCTTCTGTGCTGGTGAAGCTTTGCTAGCTGATTTGCAGGCAGAAAGCCGTTATTTCTCTAATTGGCGACCTGCCGCCAGTCCATTGGATCCGAGAAATCGGAAGTCGTACACACGAAGACTGAATTTTTTGGCGACAGGCGCATTCCCATTTTGAATTCATGGGCATCCGCCGGCCTTACACACGTCCAAGGCTCCCATCCGCAAGATGTGCCCAATCACCCTCGCCTTCTTCGCCAACTGACGGCACACGTCCTTTCGATCAAATGCGTATCGGTGAACCGCGAAAACCTCCCAGCCCGCACGCTGCAAGGAATTGCATGGAGCCTGGGTGGAGCAGGCTGAAACCCACCCCGAGTGCTGCAAAGCTCCACCTCAAGCTGCGGGCTTCGCCTGAGCTGTCGTCAAAACCCCGCTTTAGCAAGATAACCCTGTCAACTCAAACTGTCAACGAGCGGCCGCATAAAGTAATAAACCTGAAATTTGAACCACGGGTGCATACGTGCGCGTGTGTATGTGTGTGTGTGTCTATATATATATATATATATATATATATATATATATATGTATCATCTTTTTATGGTGCCCCCTCCCATGTACCTACCCTTTTCCTGCCCTTTTGTGCCTTCACCACATTGGCCAGGGGGGCTAATTGCCCTAGGATGTAAGACGGAACGACATAAATGAGTTGTGCAGCCTGTGAAATCCGATGTCAACTGTGCTCTCCCGAACAGCACGACCCAAAAACATTCAAAAAAACAAAACAATGAGTCTGAAGCAGAAGCTTTGGAAAAGCAAAAACAAACACACCCAGACGGTACAGTTTGAAAAATGAGTGTTGGTTGTTCTCATGTTTTCAGCTTCTGATTGACGGAAACTTTGAACAGACCAGTAAAGACGACACACACAACATTGGAAAAAGCAGAAAAAACCAACACAGTGGCACACACAGAGCCCAAAACATTGGAAAAACCTATAAAAACACACACACACACACACACACACACGGAGCCCCAAAGCATTGTGAAAACCCAATAACAATTATAAAAACCATGATGTTACAGCGATCTGCAAGCGTGGCACCATCCGGACGAGATACTTTGAAAATCATGGTTTGTTTGTATGGTTGTTGTTGCTTTTGTCCAATGCTTTGTTTTTCTGACTCATGGAAACGTTGGAACCAATCAAAGTGGCACGCACAAAGCCCAAGACATTACATACGGAGTCCAAAACATTGGAGCAACACTAAACTTATACATATATATATATATATACACACACGGAGCCAAATACATAAGAAACACCAATAAACACCACATGCACGGAGCCCAAAACACTGGAAACACCAGTACAATGCCAACTTGCTGTCGCCTTACGCTTATATAACGGCTTAGTTGTGCGAGCCGTGATTGCTTGAGTCCTTTAATCGCTCGTCTGGAATTCAAACCATGACTATGCCTGTGCGCTTGTCCGGCAGCAAACTCATCAGTGCCACGACTTCTTTCGACGTAACAATCTGCATGAATCTGCCTCACGACGTTGCGGATTCCATCTTGAAGTTGATTTTGAGACCAGTGCGAGACAACTACGATGATTTGCCAAATACATACACGTATCTATGTATATATATATATACATATATTATTGGACACCTAGTTGATGTTCGATATGGGCCTATGTTACTATGCCTGACTACTTAACAAAAGGGGAAATTTCAAGCTGGTGCGCATAAACCTTAAGCAATAGTTCCATGTCATATAGCTGAATTTTCGTGCTATGCGAACATGTTGCTAGTGCTCAGCTGCAAAGTGCAAACAAAAAGTGTGATGCACGGGTAGTCAAAACGTAGTCATACATAACAGTACAGACAATTTGAGCAGCGATTCACTAACACATAGTTTTGAATGTTGCGCATCATCCGCACAGAACCACTGTGTCGATACATTTTACTTGCTACGTCAACCGTACTTGTTGAGCATTAAACCGCTATTCTGTGTATTACTCGTGCGGTATTTGGGTCATGCACGCTGCATCTTTCCAGATATGTCATTCATTGAAATAAAAGATTTGCTTAGCACTGAATATCTAAATACTCGCCGGAAACCTACATACGTACATCCATACATCCATACATATACATACATAAACATGATCACACACATACATGGGCACATGGGTACATCGGTACTTTTGGATCTTTGCTCTCGGGTCCTGCCCCCCCACCCCCCCCGCCCCCCCCCGCCGCCCCCCACCACCCACCCGCCCCCCGCCCCTGTCCCCGCCCTTTGTGTTTCGTCGCCCCCCCCCGCCCCCCCCAGCATGGTATCCCCCCCGCACGCCCCGCCCCCACCCACGCCCCCACCCACGCCCCCGCCCGGCGCAGTAGTTTCCATACAATGCTGAATTATGAGAGTTGTATGGCGATGGTGATGGTGGCAGAGATTCTTTTGATGGTATCATGAAGATGACGACGACAAGGATGATGTTGAGCATGGTCTGATTGTCGACTCATGTCGCCGTCTAGAGCAGCAGAACATCATGAGCAGTATCACGGGTGCCACAGCAGGAAGGAAGATAAGGAGTATCACATAAGAACTTCGCGGCACAGGGGGCGCGGGGGGAAGCGGGGAGGATACCATGGGGTGGGGGGGAGGGGGGTGTGGCAGCCCTGCATCATATATATATATATATATATATATAGAAAGAGAGAGGGAGCGCGAGAGAGAGAGAGAGAGAGAGAGAGAAATAGATAGATAGATAGCGAGAGACATAGACATACACCTAGCACCCAAAGCTTAGACTTCAAACCGAAGCCCGAGAACCCCCTACAAGCCCCAGGTCGTAAACCTAGACACAAACACTCGAAAAACGCCTAAGAGCGTTGAGCTAGAAGACTAAGCTCAAGGCTTTAGGGCTGAAGGCATCTGTCGGGGTATCGGTGCGGCACTGTGAAATTTCAGAACTTCTGACTGATGTGCCAGGGTGCTCCAGTCAGCAGCATAACTCGCTGCTGCCAGGAATCCCGGTAGCGTGGCCAAAGATAACCTTCAGCGTGTGATGGGAGGTGGGGATCTGCGAAGGTCCACTGTCAGTAAACGCTCTAGCCGCGTTGCAAAAGTACAATGGCCAGCTGCGGCGGGTCGCCCGTCGACAGCGTCAAGGCTTCCAGACCTGCACTCACCTATGGGCGTTGATCTAAAACCCTTCGTCCCGGAATGACCTTCTTCGCGAAGCGAATAGTTTACTTTCGCAACACCATCGCCGAACTTTCACAGAGGCATATGCACATAACTTTACGAGTTGAAAGCCCCAAACCATGAAGAGCTCTTTGGGGGATTGCTAAGGCTTGTTTGACTGCTTCTGGACAACTTGCTTAACAGTTTCTCGAAAGCAGCGCTCCGTAGATGTTTCTCAAGGGTCTCTCATTTCCTGTAAACCCTCTGAAAAGCTTTGTGTGGGCTTCCCAAGATGCGCTTCAACAACGTCCATTGTCTGCAAGCCCTTGCCGCAGCTCAGCGCACATGCACAATGACTCCTTTCCTACAGCTGGGTACGTGAACTTTAACAACACTTACGAGAAACTTGCGTGGAACCTTTCGTGCTACTCGCTATATAGTGGTGGTCGCGGAGGTAAGAATGGTAATGTAGTAGTGGTATTGGAGGTAGCCGTGGCAGCAGCAGCAGGAGTAGCCGCAGTAGTAGTAGTAGTAGTAGTAGTAGTAGTAGCAGTAGTAGTAGTAGTAGTAGTAGTAGTAGTAGTAGTAGTAGTAGTAGTATGTTGAAGCCTGAGTCTGCCCTCACCTCCCGAGTAGTTTCCGTCGTTTGAAGTGACTTGTCGTAGCCCTTGTGGTTCTTCAAGTGAGAGAGTGCAAGGCCCCTATGCTAGAAGACTTTAGAGTCGTGAACTTGGCCAAAGGCCGAACAGCCATCACAGGCATAGAAGGGCGTAGCCTCTCAACATACTTTCAGAGCTTTGTCGAGTGAAGTGAGAAAACATTCCGTTCGAGCGCCATGGTCAGTTTCAGTTGTCTGGATTCCTCTTCTGGGATCATCCGATAAATTTGGAACGAAGCTTGAGCTGAGATGGACGGTGCAAATCCCAACATGCACGATCTTCCAGATCATCAGGTTATGAGCGCCCAAGGTTACGGGACGCTGCCGAGCTCTGCATTGGTCAATGGGACAACGCCTCTTCAGCAGCTGGATCTAGATGGAAAGATTAGGCAACCGCAACACTCTGCTACAATGGAGAACCCTGCTTTGGTAGCAGGGCAAGCCCCAGCTGGCAGTGTCGCGGGAGGAGCAAAGGCTCCTACGCCTCCACCTCCTCCATCTGGTCAGGTGATGGGATATGGTTCTACTGGAGCTTCGGAAGCTTCAATGGGCCAGAGGCAAGGTGGCACATCGAGCGCCTTGGCGGCGTCCGCTGTGCCACCCCCCATGATGAGGACTGATGTAGTTGGAGCGGCTTCTTCCGCGAGCCCGCCCGTGGATGGACTTCAAGACCATCGAGTTCATGAAGCTCAGACTCTGACAACACAGGTTCCTCAACAGAACGAGGCGCAGCCGCAGCTAGGAGCTCAACTGCACTTGGAAGGAGGACCAAAAGCACCTTCTATGATGCTTACGGTTGGGGGTCAAGGCTTCTTTGCTCAAGGAGTTCAGTGGATGCTGCAGAAATTTGCGGATGTAGGAGGACAAGAAGTTTTGTTGACTCAGCCCTCTTCGCAGACCGCTCAAATTGAGTACCAGACTCCTGTGACACCGAAGTCGCTTTTCTCTCCTGAGCAGATGCGTAGGTTTGCCCAGCTCCAAGAGCAGGCGCCTCAACTGTATCAACATGTAGCAGGTCCGGTAGGACAAGTAGCCTCCCCGCCTTCCTCCGCGTCTCTAAGTATGGAAGTCATTCAGGCTGAGGTTCGTAGGCAAGTTGAGAGGGAGCTTGAGGTTAGGAATCGAAGGCTTAGAGAATTGGAGGAAGAAAACCGAAGACTTAGAGAGGAAAATGTAGGTAGTGTAGCCCCTGCAGCTCCTCCGAAGGTCAACGCGAATGGATTAGGTGGGTTCTTAGGTGGTTGGCTCCCGGGCTCACGCGGCTTCTGGGCAAATGCCCCAAGGAGCTCTCCAGCTCCACCACCTCCTCCACCACCTCATTCTCAATCGCCGGCTTTACCTCCTCCTTTGCCTCCGCATCCGAATCTTCGGAGTGCGGGCTATGGGTCCGTTGCAGATGGTCTGCCGCTTTCCAATGCCAGCCCCCCTAGCGGTTACCCTAGCGGTTTAGTCCTGGGTGCCCCTAGCGTGTGGCAATCTATGCCAGCTGCGCCGCCGTCGCACTACCCCAACCCTAGTGGTTACCCTAGCGGTTTAGTCCCTAATGCTCCGGTGCCTCTGGCATCAGAGCAGCCTGTGGCAAACCCCAACCCTAGTGGTTACCTAGCGGTTTAGTCCCTTTGGGTGTCCCTAGTGCTCCTGTGCCTCTGGTTGCAGAGCAGCCTGCGGCAAACCCTAACCCTAGCGGTTGCCCTAGTGGTTTAGTCCTTTCGGGTATCCCTAATGCTTCCGCGCCTCGTGTGCAGGAGCAGCCGGCATCAAACCCAAACCCCTACGGGTACCCTAGTGGTTTAGGCCCCAGTGACCCCAGTGGTTGGCAAGCGTATGCCGCGCAGCAGGGTGCCGAAAACTCTGACCAAGACGGACGGGCGACTTGTCCAGCTGCTCCCATTGCACCGAGCCCAGCAACCTTGCCAATCGAGCGGTCAGGTGAAAGGGCAACCGGAGGTGACAGCTTGGGAAGTAATTCTTTAGAGTTGCTGATTGCTGGCATGCGCCAATTGCAAGAGGTTTCTATGAGATCGTCTAAGAGTCCGAAAAGTGAAAACGTAAAGCCAGGCATAACCAGTTTGCCTACCCTTGTTGAGCCAGGCCCTGAGGCCCCGGTTGACTTCCAGGATTGGGTATACACGATTAGCCCAGCGATGCAAGACATATCGGATAACAGTGCTGAATGGTGGGAGAACATTCTCTTATCAGCAGAAAGCTACTACTCTGAATTCCTTAAGCTTGATCCTGTAGCGCGTTTGAGCCACAAGCCTCAACCGAACGAGGTGTTGAAGCAGCAAAGGTGGAAGCGGGTAGAGAAGCGAGCAGAAACATTGGTGTTGGCTGCACTTCCTAAAACCGTTAGAGAAGAATGCGTAGCAGGAAGATTGACAGGGATTCTTGCGATATGGTGTCGTGTCATGGTGATTTATCAACCGGGTTCGCTGCTTGAAAGAGCAACTGCCTTGAAATGCCTTGAGTCACCGAGTGAAGCCGCCGATGCAGCTTCAGCGGCAAAGGCCCTCCGAAAGTGGCACAGATGGCTGCTCAGGGTGAGGAGTGTAGGCGGAACGCCGCCTGACCCGATTATCCTGACAAGAGCCTTAACCCTAGTGTGCAAGAAGCCTCTTGAGGTGCTCACGGAAGCCGCTTTTCGGATTCAGCTTGCGCGGTCAACGCTTCGAGTAGACATAAATCCGTCTTCAGCAAAGGTAGATGAACTTTATGGTTTGCTGTTAGCAGAAATGGAAAACTTGTCGCATAGCGGAGCCGTGCCAAAGGGCCCCAAGACTGCCACGATGGCCCAGACCAACGCAAATGCAACCACTGCTCCTGTGCCTCCCCCACCAAAGCCAAATCAGCAACCTCAAGCTAAGGCGAAGAGCGCAACCCCGTGTCGCAACTTCCTAACTGATGCTGGATGCTCTCGAGGGGCTAAGTGTGGGTTTGCGCATGACACTTCGTCATTGACTCGTGCGCAGCGGGGACAGCGTTGCTTCAATTGCGGTTCAACTGGTCATCGCGTCCAAGAGTGCAAAGCACCTAAGCCTGACAGTCCTACAGGGTCTAAGGGTGATGCTAAGGGAGGGGGCAAAGGAGGGAAAGGAGGTAATCAGGAGAGCCCGAAGGCGAAGTCGTCGTCAGGTGAGGGCGTTGAGGGCGCAAAGCCTCCACCCCCAGCTCCCAAGGTAAGTGATGCCTTGCAATCCTCAGCCGCCTCTTCCTCCGTAGCGACACCTTCTCCTCCTGGTCAGTCTTCGTCAGCAGACTCCTCCAAGCTCAAAGCCATGATTGCTGAGGCTCATCAAATGCTGCAGGACCTTAAGTCAACCTCCCGAGGGAGCGAAAGCAGTGTTGAGTTGCCCAAGATGGCAATGATGTGGGCTGATCTTCCAGATATCCCTCAGCTTCCCCAGTTGACGTTTGCGCAAGAAAAGGATGCTTTCTTGGACTCAGGCGCATCGCACGCGCTAAGGCCTCCGAAGAATCAGGAGGAAGCAGCAAGTGCCGAGCCCATCGAGGTGATTCTTGCAGGGGATGGAAGGAAAAGCCTTAGACAAAATGCAGGAGGGACATTGCTAAGTGACACCCCAGGAGCACAAACCATCTTACCGTTAGGAGCCCTTGTAAGGGAATTGGGATGTTCTATTAAGTGGACTCGCAAAGGCCTCACACTGAGACATCCGACATACGGTGTTCTTCGGACACAGATCCGAGGACATCCGTTGGCTGAAACAGAAGCGTTAAGACTTATTAGCGAACTAGAAAGCAAACGCTTGGAGCGCTTTGAAGGTCAGCTGTGTGAACTGCAGGCCAGGATTGAAGCGGCTGAAGCGACATCTTGGGAAGAACCACTTTGCAGGTACCTCACTCAAGGGGATCGTAAAGAGTTGATGGTCGCGGTTCAACGCCTAGAAATTCATGATGATCACGCCACGCAGGCAATGTTCTCGCAAGTGCGAGACCTGAGCAAAGGCAAGGAGTGGGAATACTTGAAGGAGCTTGGTTTCCCTCGGAGCAAGCGTAGACGTCTGATGAAGTCCGGTAGGTGGATGGTTCACCATGATGATAATGGGGGTGTCTTCAACGCCTTAGGGGAGTTAGGGGAATCCTTCAAGATTTCATCCCGGACCTTAAATGAATATCAGGCATCCGCTGTCTCAGGTCTGCTCCTGTGGGCAGCATCGCAAGGAAAATTGGGATGTGTCACGTTGCATGCTACCACTCAGGAGGATATGGCGCTTTGTGTGCTGTTGTGGATCCTGAACTCCTCTGCCACGGGCACCAGCATGCCCATGTCTATAACCGTGGACCCGGAGCTTGGTAGCCAGTGGCAATCCTTGATCGTG